AGATGGAATAATGCCCAGGAAGGTAGGTAGCAGTGTTCTGACCAGCAACAGGACGTTCCCTGGAGACTTTAAGGAAACAACCAGACACCCACTTACCCAAGAGAGCTCATGTGAATTCTCTTCATCAGAAGGCTGGGGATGGAGCTAACAGACCCCAGGCATTGCCTTCAGCTCTGTAAGGCTGTGGAATATGTCAGGAGAGCCTCCTGGATCCAGCGCCCAGCCCAGTGTGACACACACATAGTGGGGCTCTGACAACTCAAAGCTTTGCCCCTATCTTTGGGCCACTGACGTGACTGCCCTGGGCCTCAGCCCCTGTATCTGTAATCAGAGGGGACTGACTACATCTGTAAGATGCCTTTCAACTCTTAAGGAAATGTTAAATACCCTGGATTCCTCAGCGTGTTGGATAAGTGTTTCCACAGTCTTCTGGGTAGGGATGCTGAGCAATCACACCAAATACTTGTTTGCAAAATCTGAGTCTAAAATAATTGAATTTGCCTGGCTTCTGTTTCATCTCACAGTTTGTGTGTAAACACTTCACATTTCCTGGATTTTTCTTTTACCTGGACCTACAACTACATCTGTAAAGTAGCTCCTGGCTTAGTCGAAGTGGGGACCACAACGAGAAGCATATAAATTGGTGGCCACTGCATGCTAAAAGCTAACTATTAATTTTGTTCAGTCCAGTTCTAGACAAAATTAAATTACCCTCTGGTATTTTCTCCTTTGAGCACCTCTCTTTCATCAAGCCTTCCTTTGCTCTGTCCAGCCCCATCTCAAGTCCTCACCGCCATGTGTTCCAGACACAGACTTGTTTGTTGACTGTGGAAAGAAGAACAAATCCGTGCACCCTGCTAAGAACACACAACTCCTTTGTGGCAGAGATGGTTCATGCCCACCAAGTCCGCCAGGTGTTCTCCCACATTTCCCCCTCTCCCTGCATTCAGATCAGGGCCACGGGCTGACCAACGGACTGTGGATGGACGCAGCACGGTCACCTCGGTCGGGTCAGTTAAGAACAGTGTGAGTTGTCTCCACCATTACTGTGACTTGAGGTGGCAGGGCTGGCAAGATGGAAGCTGGGTCCCGGAGCCACTGTTAGGGGAAAGCCCCTAAGGAGAGCTGCCTGATTCGCATTATACCATGACGTAATGGAAAATAAAACTGCCTTAAGCTACTGAGATTTCGTGGTTTGTTACTTCAGCCTCGCCGAATCGAGCCCAAAACATCCCTTCCAGAGGTATTTCCTGCTAAGAGAGGTTCTAGGGGAAATAACAATGCAAAACCCGAGGGAAAGGACTTCTCACAGTGGACCTAGGGATACTTGTCGTAATCAGTGCCACTGCAGCAGCATCTGTAGAAAAAGAGGATCAGCCTCAGCGAACCTTCTTGATACCACTGGTGTCGGGGCATGAAGCGACACCGTATGCCTCCTTATGGTCTCGTGCTGCATGATGAATTTGGAAAGTCTCCGAAGAAGGGAGTTTTAAGACACTATTCCTTCAGGCAGAAAGTAACCAAGCCCAGCTTCTAGACAGAGGTAGAATGAGGGAATCAGTTTTCTAGAATGATCTTGAAAAAACAGTGACCTAGTGCCAGAGACAGAAATCCCTTTTCTTCTTCCTGTCCCACCTCATATTATCAGTTATTAAAACTGGGGCGCCTGGGTGGCTCAGTCAGTTAAGTGTCCAACTTCAGCTCGGGTGATGATCTCGCGGTTCGTGAGTTCAAGCCCTGCATCGGGCTCTGTGCTGGCAGCTCAGAGCCTGAACCCTGCTTCAGACTCTGTGTTTCCCTCTCTCTCTGCCCCGCCCCCACTCCGTCTCACTCTCAAAAATGAACATTAAAGAAAATTAAAGATAAATAAAGTAAAACACCTGGTTGGCTCTCTCCAAAATCCCACAAGCACCAGAAAATTTGATAATTTGGATCTATTTAAGAATCCAGCGGAAACTTTTGGAAACAGGATGAAATGACCATAATGTGCATCTGTCGAGTGAAGCTGGCCTGGTTCTGATGGCCTTGTGGGAAAACCTTCCTTCCTCCCTCCATAGAGACCCTCCCGGGCTTCCAGAGCACCGTGGATGGGGTTTTAAGAATTATTCAGCTGGGAGCAACTGCGGCCTAGGGAAGACACTCAGAAAGGAGGCAAAGTACTACCTTGGATCCTAACTCTAAGTTGAGGTGGTTTTTTTTTTTTTAATTTTTTTTTTTTAACGTTTATTTATTTTTGAGACAGAGAGAGACAGAACATGAACGGGGGAGGGGCAGAGAGAGGGAGACACAGAATCCGAAACAGGCTCCAGGCTCTGAGCTGTCAGCACAGAGCCTGACGCGGGGCTCGAACTCACGGACCGCGAGATCATGACCTGAGCCGAAGTCGGACGCTTAACCGACTGAACCACCCAGGTGCCCCAAGGTGTTTTTTTTTAAAGTGTCCCCCACCACATGACTCTTAAGAGTCGCAATCTGGCAAGGCATCATATCTGACTGCAGCTTCCTGAGGATGTCACTCCCTCCCCCAAACGCTCGTGACACTCACCAGTGGAGAGGATCCCCTCCTACCTCTGCCACTGGCTTCCCCTCGGCTCCCTCCAACCGAGCCAGAGGGGGCTTCCAACAAGCCTACGGACACATCTAGGACCCAGAACCCACCTGATGAACCAAATACAGTCCCTTTGGGTCTGGCAGCACATGCCAGCCAAGTCCCAAACCAGTTTATTAGTTTAACCAAAAGGTAAACAGATGATGGAGCTGTAGAAAGACAAGCATGCGAGCAGCTGAAAGCATCACCCGGCTATCCACCGGGAAACAAATTTAAGACATTTCAAGTGGCATTAAATAAATGAGGCTATGTTTTATCTACTTGGAGTTTCCATCGTCTTTAAAAAAGGAAAAAAAAATATATATATATATTTTTTTACATTGCAGTATATAAATCTAGACTCTACATATACAGTACAATACATAGGGCGAGCACACGGCACAACACGTATGTCTTCATAGCCGCACCCTAAACTAGGCCAACAGTTCTGTATTTTGTGACCTTCGAACCCAGAAATTCAGGCTGAGGCTACATGTTCTGCAGTCTCCATGATGTCTAGCACCCCGGCCGTCTCTCCTCCAAGCACAGAAGCGCAAATCGGACGAGCCTTGCAAACAGAACAAAGTGCTTTTCGACTGGTTGAAACCGAGGCGCTCTTTATCATGCACAGTCTGCTCTCCTCGAAAGACCTAAGGGAAATTTGAGGCCTTCCCGGCTCATTCTTTGGTCCACTGCCACGAATCTCTAAACTTTCCCTGGTGTTTCTTGCAGATTTCATATGGCTATTTACATAACATAAATCTCACATAACCTTTGGGAGCTGTCTTTACAGGATTAGGACAAAGGGGAAAAAAAGCTCCATTTTACAATCTATGCTTTATATCTGGGTTTGTTCTTTTTATTTTTAGAATAAAAACTGGAATTTTGAGAATTTTTTCTTAAAAAGGACATTCTGAAAGTGCTTCTTACACATGTTGATATCGCACATATGGCTTTTTGGTTCAAACCCCCAGCACAGCTCAGATTTGGAAGGGAGAGGGTGATGGTGTTACTAGAGACAAAAATGTCACTTAACAGTAACACTGTGATAGCAAGTGTGGGGACCTGAAAAAAAAAATGTTATTGATTCCATCTGGAAGAATGTACCTCATTAAGAAATGATTCAGATCATATACGTAGCCCCATTTCTTTCCCCATGACTAGGCACAGTAATGCTATAAAAGTTAGTGAGTAAAACAGGACACTGCTATCAGCAGGGAACATCTTCTGAGGGGCTATTAACAGAGCAGTCGCTGTTCTGAAATCTTTCACAGGCTCAAAATGATCAAATATAGTCAATCGCAGTAGGAATTTCTACACCTGAGGAATAAATTGCACGTAATATAGAGGTACTACAATCCAGATGGCAGAAGACTCCAGACATATAGTGTTACATGCAAAAGAAGGCAATCAGAAATGGCAATGAAGAAGTGGCATTCCGAGACAGGTAAGAGTCCAAACGAGTCCCCAACCTTTTGTGCTTTCTTTTCCGGCTGGTAAGTTACCAAAGAGCATGGCTACTTGTACAGTAATGATTGTGATATGTTCTTGAGCAGGGGGAACGGACACACGAGGCAGTTGCCAGAAACCAAAATGGGCTTGCGTTGGCTCCAGAGGTGTCACGGGGGCTGGACCAGTGGGTCCGATGGGCCTCCGATGCTCCTCTCGCCCTCCCTGGGGTCGCAAAAAGCGGCAGGTGCGGGCAGAGGTCAAAAGCCACTGGCTCATCCAAACCCTTTCCAAAGTGGCCTTTCATTCAGCCGTGGCAGTTCCAGCCTCTGCAGATCTCTTCTGGTGGCACTTGATGGAGAAAGTCATTCTCTCCCTTATAGAAACAGTTTGGACTTCTCATAATACTGGCACAAAGGACACTCTGTATTCCTAGGATTGATTCCATTTACATGGAAGGTATGACACTAGGTATTCAGTTCTTTCTATTTCCCTGTAAAAAGTGACCTCAACTTCCCAGGCCATTGTGCAAATTCATTTTTCCATAGTCCAGAATATCCCTAAGTCCCATATATATATATATATATATATATATATATATATATATATACACATATATATATACACATATGTATATGTATATATATATATGTATATATATATATATACACACATACATACCAAATATGTGTACATATATATTTATTTATAAAAGTGGATAATTTTGCATTTCAGTCTCAAATAGGTCAAAGAGAATCAGTGAAACATTCATCCTTTTCATGTCAAACTCATCTCCGATTTTCCCCACGATGCCTGTCATAGTGCCTTCCACACCAGAGGTACTCAATAAATAGCTGTGGACTTCACCAATGATCCTCTAACACTGGATGGTCGTTGCAATCACCACGGCCTGTTCTCAGCCCCGCTCTGCCTTTGGCGAGCAAGGGGCCATTGGTCCCTCCCTTCAGAGGGTGATTTTGCTGTGCCTATTGCTCCAGCAGCCCCGTTTAGCTGTCCTGGGCAATGTCAAGCTGGTCCGGCTACGCAATTTCACTTGTTCTTCCATGGCGTTCTTTTTGCGTAAAATGAAGTCAAAGTTCACTTGGCTGTTCATGGCATAAAAGACATTGGCTGAGTCTGGGATCACCAGTTCTAAAGGAGAGAAGGAGAGAGAAGGCAGTCAGCTGGTGTAGGTCAGCCCAAGCACTGACAGTGGCAGGGGGGAAATTTTGTCTGGCCACAAAGCAAGGACCATTTGTCCTTTGTCCTTGGAATGTGAACTGAACCAAACAATGACAACCACCCCCAAAATCAGTTCCAACCACTCCTCAATCCCAATTTTAAATTGAACTAAATGCTCAAATGCAGAATATTTTAGCTAGAAAAAAGTGCAGTAGAAAACAAAGGTGAAGAGACATTAAAACAAAGGGAAAGACACTCCCAGGATCACAGCTAGTCAACAGCAGAACTGGGCTAGAACCCAGGTATCCTTCCTCCCATCGTCCATTTTCTACTCCAGCATGCAACTTTTCTGAGACTGAGAGAATCCAATGACACGGGGGAGAAAAAAAAAATCTACAGCATTTTCCAGAACCTTCTACTTGGAATATTGAAATATTTTTTGAAGTAATCCCAAATCAAACCAGCTGAATACTAAACAGCATCTATATAAGATAGAGTACATCTGTAAATATTTAAACTGTTGTCTACTTCAATGATTCCCAAACAGACAGCTGCCATTTCTGAACAGGGACTATTCCAAGTATCATATGAAATTATCAAGCAAAGTTACTTTAATTCATTTATATTTTTATTTATTTTTATTTTTTTATTTAAACAAATTTTTTTAATGTTTATTTATTTTTTTATTTTTTATTTTTTTATTTAAAAAAAAATTTTTTTTCAACGCTATTATTTTTGGGACAGAGAGAAGACAGAGCATGAACGGGGAGGGCGTGAGGGAGAGAGGGAGACATGAGAATCAGAAACTAGGCCCAGCCTCCTGTTAGCCATCAGCCCGGAGCCATGGCTCAACTCACGGATCTGAGACGTAGACCCTGGCTGTAGTTCCGAGCGGATTACCCATCATGCCACCCAGGCTCTATAAGTTTATTTATTTTTGAGAGACAGAGAGACAAAGACAGAGTGTGAGCCAGGGAGGGGCAGAGAGAGAGGGAGACACAGGATCCGAAGCAGGCTCCAGGCTCTGAGCTGTCAGCACAGAGCCCAATGCGGGGCTCAAACTCACAAACCGCGAGATCATACCTGACCGGAAGTCAGATGCTTCACCGACTGAGCCACCCAGGCGACCCAAATTCATTTATATTTTTAGAAGAAGATATATACTATTTAGCACTCAGGGGTAATGGGTATCTAAAAAAACAAACGGGAATAAAAGAGATAAAATGGGCAATAGTGTTGGGGAGGCCATCACCAGAGGCATCTGATTGCAGAATGGATGCAGTCAAGCTTATGTTAACGTCAAACACCGAAATTTTATAGAGAGACCGACGCAATCAGGTTCTAAGTGACTCTAGTACATTTTGCACAAATGTCCCCATATTCCCGGGTCAGTAATAATTCACCTCACAACTACGGATCACTTAGCATACCTCCAAAGTACTTTAGGGCACATATTTCTTGTTACCCTCATAACTGTCCTGTGACATATGAAGAATTCGTAGGGTACTGCCTCCTTTTCACTAATTAAGGACCAAGGCCCGAGGAGGTCAAGCAGCCCCCCGAAGACCACCCAAGTGGTGGACAAAACTGGGCCCAGGATTCCTGGTTCTTCAAACCAACTGGTCTCACTTTAGCCTTGGTTCGTGGGCAACATGGTAAAACTCAAGAGATCACCTTGTAGGCTTAGAATTTTAACTGTAACCACAATAAAAGATATAATTGACAAGGGTTTGCCCCACAACTTAGGGGTCCGCTGAATGACTGAGAAAACTCCCAAGAGGTAATTGAAAAAGAATTTTCTCAGAAGCTATATACTTCATCTCTAGGAAAAAGTACTACTCTAATTTCAGCCACTCTTCTCGGGGCCCAAGATACAGCCTGGAGGATTTGCTGGTCAAATGGAGCATGAACAGCTGCTCCCTTCTCATATTCCCAACTTTTAAAATTCTTCTTTTCGCTATACTTGGGGAACAAATGTGAATTGGGGGCACCTTGGTGGCTCAGTCGGTTGAGCATCCAACTTTGGTTCAGGTCACGTTGCCATGGTTTCTGAAATCGAGCCGCGCATCAGGATCTGTGCTGACAGCTCGGAGCCTGGAGCCGTCTTGGGATTCTGTCTCCCTCTCTCTCTGCCCCTCCCCCATTCATGCTCTCTCTCTCTCTCTCTCTCTCTCTCTCAAAAATAAATAAACATTAAAAAAAATGTGTGAATTGGTTAGTGTTGGGTCTGCCAGTAGATAGGGTTAATTTCAGTCAATAACCACACTTGGAAAGAGACTTATGACTGAGTTTCTACGATGTGACAGAGTACAGACAACTTACCTACCAGCTTGTTGTCTCCTCTCAACAAATACAACCCCAATTCAAACTGGCAAATAGATACATTCAGGGTAAGTATTTGCCCCCAGTTTTCCTAAAAGGAATTTCTGCCAACAATGGGTTCCTAGACATACTGAAGTATTTCACAGATCACCAGTTCTTTGCCTCAGTAAGTGTGAGATAAAGAGCCTTCAGATTCTGGAGTTAGAAGCTTTTGCTACTTGAACATCAATCATGAATAAAGATAAACTGAAAGAGGGGCACCTGGGTGGCTCAGTTCCAACACCCGCTCCGGTCACAACCATGCGGTTCATGAATTTGAGCTCCACATCTGGCTCTGTGCTGACCACTCAGAGCCTGGCGCCTGCTTCAGATTCTGTGTCTCCCTCTCTCTCTGCCCATCCCCCACTTGTGCTCTCTCTCTCTCTCTCTCTCTCTAAAATAGCATCAAAAATTTTTTAATAAAAAAAGATTAAAAGATAAACTGAAAGATAAACCTATAAGCCTCCCATGCATGATTAACTGAAATGAGAAATTATTCCAAGGACCGCTACATTATAGGTTCATATACAACTTAAACACACATTATTGGGTAAAGGAGGTGCGTGACTATCTCAAAGGGGCCAATAGGCCCCACCGCCCCTCACCTTCTGACACAAGGAGAGACCTCTTCCAAGAAGAATGCTTGATAAAAAGTTTATAGAGCATGCAGCGGCACCTGGGTGGCTCACTTGTTAACATTTCAGCTCAGGTCATAATCTCATGGTTCGTGAGTTCAAGCCTAGTGTCAGGCTCCGCACTAACAGCATGGAGTCTCATGAGAATTCTCTCTCTCCCCCTCTCTGCCCCTCCCCCCTTCTCTCTCTCAAAATAAATAAGTAAACTTAAAAAAAAAGTTTATAGAGAATGGGCATGAGAATGCACAGCAAAACTGTAGGCAAAACAGGGTTGTTGCGGGGGCAGCTTGAGATGCTTCATTCTACAAGTGAGGTGACATCAGGGTTCCCCACACAATTAAAAACCCCTATTTGATTCCATTAAAAAACCCCACCGAATTCATTCTCTGACTTCTACACGGGTAACCGGCCACGAGAAGCGACGTGTGCCCACCTTTGTCCTCCGAGATGACCTGTACCAGCTCGTACTCCTCCGCTGGGTCCGAGTCCAGGTTGTGCTTCAGCATCGCCCTCTGGATCACGGCGGGGGTTTTATCCTGGCTCGTCAACTGAAAAGACAATGGATGGGTTTCTAAGTATTCGGCTTCATGAGAGCCCTCTTGACCCTCTTATTCTTGCTGCCTTGTGTCTTCCTGGGAGTAATGGCCCAGTGGAATGAGAACAGGACCAGGAGCCAGAAGCCCTGGGTTCTAGTTCTGGCTCCACCCTTAGTAGCCAAATGATGATGGGCCACTTACTCTCGCCATCACCTACTCCCTCAGTCAAGTGTCTTCCCTTAGTAAAACAGAACATGTTCCTTGCCTATCTCGTCCACACTGGTTGAGGTTCCAGTGGGGGGCAGGGTGGAATAGGAGGGTACTGTGCAAAACGCATAGCATTTTTGGTTCTGGGCTAAAATCATCCTTACCTGTTGAGCTACTGCTATGGAACCAGGTCACAACCTGGAGGTTACAAATGACCGCAGTTCTGCACAAGAATCATTTCAAAACGCACAAGAGACTCCATGACCCAGCAATTTCACATGATCTCACATGATCTCCCAGATCACTCCATGATCTCAGCAATCTAGGTATTGACCAGGAGAAATGAAAACCTATGTCTACAAAAGGACTTCTACACAAGTGTTCATAGCAGATTCACACCCATAATAGCCCCCAGCTGGAATCAACCTGAACCGCCCTTGACAGGAGAGAACAGGGGAATGGACAGAGAGATTATAGTATATTTCTGCTAGAACACAACTTAGCAGTTATAAACTAAGAACTGACACATGCAACAATGTGGATGAATCTCAAAAGCATCATGTTGCGCAAAAAAAACCCAAACAAACAAAAAGCAAAAATAAAAAACTAGACACAAAAGATTACGTGGTACAGGAGACAATTCTTTGAAAAACAGGCAAAACTAATCTATGGCTTTAGAAAATTAACAATAACGAACCTTAACCTTCACTAGGGTTAAGGAGGGGAACTGATTGGAAGGGACACAAGGGAATTTTGGTGGGGGGATGAAAAATGTTCTTTATTTAGATTTGGGGTGATGGTTATACAGATACAGGTAACTATTAAAACCCAAAGAACTGAACACTTAAGATCTGTGTATGTAATTGCACGTAAATTAGACTTCAATAAAAATCAGCTCCTAGGTGTTCAAAAATAATAAATCTACCATTTTTTAAGCCCAAGTAAAGCTTCTCCTCACCCCCAATTCTGACTTTCTCCCCTTTATCTCTGCACTTCAGCCAACTATTGGCAGGGTGCTTGGCGCAAGAGGAAAAGAGGTCTCTGACTTTTGTAACATCCCTTGAGTGATTTCTTTACATCAGAAAGAATGCACACACACACACACACACACACACACACACCACACAAATTATTGTTACTTAAAAATAAAAGCTGTTCTCACCAGGAGGTAAGAGGAGAGACAGCCAGTCAATCAATCAACCAATCAATTTAAAAAAATAAAAGAAGAAGAAGACAACTGATTTCCTCCAGGAAACTGTCTCTGAGAACTTAGAGATGGCAGGGCCTAGATGTCTCCCTCTGGTCCTGAAACAGCAGCTGGTACTTGTGATTCAATAAACAACACGCATTACAATGGGGTCCTTGTAAGCAACAAAGACCCTGTTCATTTGTCTATTACCAAAACATCCGGCATACTCCTTTACAAGGGAGAAATAGATGCACACAAAATTCTAAAAGCGGAAATATGTGTTTTGATAGCCTAAAAAAAAATACTCCCACAGGTGGATCGAACTGGACCAGAAGCATGAAGTTAAAGAGAAAGGATCCCACTTTAACTGGGGGGGTGGGGGGGGGTGGGAGAGTGGCGGATGTGGGGCTAAGGTGATTAACGTTGGGTTAAGTTGTCAACTTTAAACCTACCTAAGGAGAGAGCCAGGCTATCCTTATTTTCTTGACCTTAAACTTCCCCAAGTGTGTCCAGATGAGGATGGGATATGGCCAAGAGCTTTCCATGAGTGTTTATTACTCTGTCCCATCCAATGTACTGAGTGGAGTGAAGGGTCACAATCAGTATCAACAGCTCAGTCATGCAGCCTTTGGTTGACATACTGAACCAGCCCTGTCCAGTAGATCTACATAATCTAGCAGACATATTAAAACAAGTTTTTCAAAAGGGAAATTAATTTTAATAACATATTTTATTTAATCCCTCACATCCAAAGTATGATTTCAGTATATAATCCATACAAAAATTACTAATGAGAAATTCTTTCTTTTGTACTAAGTCTTCAAAATCTGGTATATATTTTACACTCACAGTACATCTCCATTTGGACTATTCCCATTTTAAATGCTCAATCGCCACATGTGGCTTGTGTACTGAATGGCACAGTATTGAATGACACTAGCGTGTCACCTTCATGTACCTTAAATAGAGAATGCAAAGAATTCCCTGTGCCTCTTCCCTGAGGTTAGCTTCCAGTACCACAGGTTCGTTTGGACTATTTTTGAAAGAAAAGACTCCTGCAGCATGTAATCTTTTGTGTCTGGTTTCTTTAACGCAATGTGGCATTTTAGAGATCCATCCACGTGGTTGCATGTGTGCCACTTCTTAGCTTTTACTTCAGAGTCACTGCAGAGTTTCGAGGGGGGACTTCTCTGTCAGCATGTGTAAGAGAAGCCATGTGAAGAAGCCACACTGAAAATACGATAATAACACTGATGGCATGGCTTCTCGGTGGTTCTTTCACCATTCTCTCTCCCACTTGAGTTCTGTCTCTTCCTGCCCTCACTCCCTGTGTGACCCTGTCCACCCCGTGGGCTGGACAACTCCCAGAACCAGCCTGGCACCAGCCCAGGTTTCTGCCCATCTTCTAGACAATGTCAGCTGGATGTCCTACTGACCCCTCCAGTGTAAGCATTCCCCAAACCCTCCTCCTCCTCCAGTAGCTTGCATCTCACTTGGTAGGACCACCAACCACCAAGCTGCCTGGACAGCCTTTAGTTTTCCCTCTTCCTCATCCCCTCCAATGGTAACCCAAAGCTGATGACTAAACTAATGGATTCTACAATTCTACTTCATAAAAATCTTTCAAAAATCCACATGGTCTCCAGCCACATGACTGTCGTTCAAGCCCTCATCATCTTCTACATGGAATATGACAGCAGCTTCCTAACTCACTTCCTCACCTCCCACTACCCCCCACCAGAGCACTGTCTCCACAATGTCAGCTACTTTTCCAGTGAACAAATCTGATTGCTACTTAAAAGCCTTCGATGAGATGCTACTGCCTGTAGGACACAAACTCCCTCATGAGGGCTGGACGCCCTTTACAACCTGGTCTGACCTCTATTAGAGAATATGGTAGATGTTGAACACTGCTTTATGATCTCCCTTTTGATCATAAGGTCCTCAAAGACAGAAACACCTCACTCATCTCCCCATCCACAAAGCCTGGCCCCGTGACAAGCACACATCCAACGTTCAAGAAATCTTTTGTTGATTCTATGACTGCTTTAGGAAAGTTTTTCTTTGGAATGTTAGAAGACAGCATACAGGTCATGTTCAGAGCTGAGCTCATGAGCACTCTGTGTGCCCCCCAAAGAAGGCAGGTGATAAAGATGGGAGATGGGACCCACTGCAAATGACAGCCTGCTCTTCAGTGCATGAAGTGGCCTATAAACGAAGAAGTCACTTCCGGGAAATACACACCCAAGGTCATTACCAGGAGACACCTGTATGTATTCCAAAAGCCTGCCATTAATTCAAGACAGTTTTGAGAGTGTGTCAGAAACACGATTTTTACAAGAGGCTCAAAAAGGTCCATCTCATTTAATTTACAAACAGAGTTCCTTGTGGACTCAAACTGTATTTCCAGCTTGATCATTCACTTTACTAAGTTTGATTCCACATGACTAAAGGAGAAAGATTTGCCACCACGGAGCACACGGCTGAGAATGCATGGGAATTCACTATAAATCCAGGCATGTGGTTCCATGGGAAGATTTCCTAGAAGGCATGCAGGAGTGGCATCTTCCCTGGGATACAGTCATTCAGTTGTCCAAATTGACAGTTTTGAAAAAAGTGACACTGACCGGGATAAGTTTTAGCAATTTTTAAGATGTAAAAATTGTATTTTATGGCCACTACTGATATGTAGATTTTTATATAAATATATTACTGGTGCATATGCAGGGAGTAATACCATGGTACATACTCATTTTGGGCAGATGCCTACATGATGCTAATATTGTACACACTTAGGGGTGTCGGTCCGAGGGCCTTACCATGATGCTCTTGTACATGTTGCCATTGTTGTCCTCTATACTGATGCGGATTATGCAGGTGTCTTCGTTCTGTTGGTTGTAAATGGGAGGCAGCACTGTCGAGGTAATGGATGTCACAGAGACGGAGCGCTTGTGGATTTTGGGGTTGTTGTTGCAGGATGGAGGGGAGGAGAGGGGGTTTATTAAGGACGACATCCCTGAGGAAGTTGTGTCCATGGAATGGATAGAGGAACATGATGAGGAAGACTCAGAGAGCTGGAAGAGTAAACACACCCCAGAAGAACACAGATTAGAACTTTGGCCAATGGCGCGCTTCACGATTTTCAAAGCAGAGGTAGATGCTGAGATGAATAAACTTCAATTACTTCCTCCACAACATCTCACAGCACACACACACACACACACATCTTGTCACTGGGGTAAGTATCCTGTTGGCAGATGCCTATCAGTGACTCAGTACTTGCCCTCTACATCCAGGTGAGGACGGATGCAAGGCAGTTCTCAAAATTCCCATTTGCAGCTGCTTTTAAGGAAGTGACCAGCAGATGGCAGCAAATACCAGAAACTAGAGGCAACGTGGCCTCCAGGAGGAAGTCAGAAGCTTAACAAGGGCTGGAGGAAAGCCTTACTTACCAAGGGCTTATCCAGTCCCATTGCCCTGAGTGGGAATGCTGCTTAACACGCCCACCACGATCTATTTTCTATCACAGATTTTGTAGCAGGAGAGAAACGTCTATACTTGTCGAAGTTTCTAAGATAAGGACCACAGATTCTACAGCTCTGCGTGGAACATTAGGCCCTTGGAGATCACCGGGCCCCAATCGCTTTCTGCTGTGAGGAACCTTGACCCAGAGAGAAAAGTACTGGCAGCACCATCATGACATACTCCCCAGTTACCTGACTCCCAAGACCAGGTTCACACGGCAAGCACATAGCCAAGGCCCAGTCTAAAGCTGATGAAAACGTGGTAAATGAACATAGTATACCACTACCTTGGTGATGTTTAGCACTGTGATGTGATGAGTTTGCATATATCTTATCTCACGTGGCTCTCCCAACTATCTTGTGAACAAAATGCAGAGCAGTATAAAGATAAGGGAAAAAAGATTCAGAGAAATAGAGCGACTTTCTCAAGGGAACACAGCCTATGAGAAGCTCCATTACTTTCTACTTTTCTACTTTCTACTTTTAAGGAATGAGGTGCTTTTCCAATTAACTACAGTTACCATAAACTATGCAAGACTAATTACCAAAGAAACAGGATGCCCAAATTCATTAGGTTGTGTTAAAAAACAAACAAAAAAAAACACCTAAATTGAATCACTTTAAATATCAATTATTGTGGAAAATTACAAATAATTTCTCAGAATGAGTTACGCTAAATTGTTATATATATTATATAACAAATATTTCAGAAGTCATTTAAAAAATAAGTAACCTACTTATGTCTTTTATACCTGTCTACTTTTCCAAGGAAAAAGCATACAGAAACTTAGCATTCTAATTATCTAGCTTCCAAGTAAAATGGGGTTTATCCTATTTTATTTCCTAAGGACTTCGTCTTCCTATAGCATAACTTTACATTAAATTCTACTATATGATTAGTTTCATTAGAGCCAGCAAGCTGATTTGACAACTCGGATATGTAGAAGTCTAACTGTGCTCTATAATATGGTTTAGTAACATTTTTTTGTCTATTTTCCCAAGTGAATCAACTTTGTGACTCAGTGTGAGGGCGAACTGATGGTGCATAATTTCAACAGCATCACTTTGCTTGAAGGTGCACCACACACAGTAGCCAAGAGGGTCCACTGTCCAGTTACTAGTTCAATTTTTTCACCTCCCTTTTCCTCTGTATGAATCCCCTTTCTTTCTGTTAGATTTTCCATAATTTTAATGACACTTAGGATTAAGATAAAGCTTTGAAGACGCCTGAGTTGCAGAAGCTCTAAACGGACCACCTGATGACTCCCCCTAAGGTCTTACTGAGAATTTGCTATGAGGAGCAAGTGTGAAAATAAATGTTTAGAAACCATGATTGGGGGATGAAGTGACAGGAATGCTAAGTACACTTCACTGAACAGAGCAATCTCATAGAGCGCCACTGTGGAAGGCACGCGGGACACCTGAGGCTCAGGATCCAGAGTAGGGAGAGGCTGTGGAGGTCATCCAGGACCCGCTATGCAGGGAGCGGGGGCACCAAGGCCTTTCCAGGTGACATTCAAGGATACTACAGCCCAGCGTGTGCGTGCATCCAAGTCAATGATTCAGCTTTAAACCGACAGAAATTCGTGCCTCTGAGGACGGTTCACCTGAAGAATAAAAATTCCTGACTTGTGCAAGAAATTAAAGCACCCGTGTGATAAGAGAGGAGGCAAGGGGTGTGCAAATGATACACACTTGGGCTGGCTACTGTGTAGTTTTAAGAGGGATGATCTGGACCTTTGCACATGTCCAGTGCACCAACAGGCATAAAGGTGATTCCACCCCCTTCCTGGACAGCGTGTGATATACCTCTATTGTCACTTGTATGATGTCCACCATCAGAAAATGGGGCCACAAAGAATTAGAACCTGTCTAAAGGTGAAGAATGATACTTCACTCCAGATTTTGACAGCTTCAAAGCTGCATCTCAAGCCATGGAGAATCATTACATCTCCGGTTTCAAAAATATGCATGGGAAAATGGAGAACAGACTCAAAGGTGTTTGCAGAGCTTTTCCTTCAATATCCGGAGGATGTGCCTCTGGATTTCAACATAGAAAGGTAAGATCCAGCTGGGGCAGCACCTGAGACATCTCAGCCTGATGAGTCCTGAGTAGGATGTCCGTCCTAGATCGGCCACATTGTGACAAGGTCATTTGAGGGTTCCTCTACTGCTGTTGTTGTTGACAACACAATGTGAAACTGCACACTGATCCCCTTATAGAATGGCAGAAAAAAACAAAATGGGGGAATTCTTACCAACACTCTACCTCACTTGCTTATGCCTAAGCTAAGGGGCTAACAGTTGCTTACACAGCAAGTCTGGCTGGCCAAAAATCTCCCCCAAATGGTGCAAATGCTAGCCACATCACAGTTGATGTTTCTAATTCAAGCTTCTTCACCAACAGATTAAAGCAGATGTGTACAGAAGATTAAGACAAATCTTGTTCTTGTTGTTGTTGTTGCTATTTTTATTTCTTTATGAAGCCATGGAAAATGGAAACTCTATGGGAATTCTTTTATCACCTCTCAAAGTATACAATGGTAGATTGTATACTTGCTACCAGTTCCTTACGCCCCTCTGAATCCATGTCCTTTGTTTGCCCTGTGACTCCACAGTTCCTCCCATTAGAAGGAGTCCCCTGCCTCACTTATTTACGTGAGATTTGGCCACATGATTTGCTTTGGGCAATAAAATGTTGGTATTATGACCAAAGTAAAGGCTTGATACATACCTATGGGGCTGGACTTGCTCTCTTGCTCATTTGTCTTAGCTTACTAACAATATGCCCCGGACAGCTTCATTATGCCAAGAAGAATGAGAGGAGCAGACCTGGACCAAACCTATGACCTAGGGCCAAGCCCAATGCACATCAGCCAACCAGCAGATACATGACAGAGAATAAATGGCTGTTGTTTTAAGTACTGAGTTTTGGAGTGGTTTGCTATGTAACATTATTGCGGTAAAAGCATGGCAAAGACAAAGTATGACTCCAAGAGACAAGGCTGATACATCTCTGTCTCTTGACTTTGCGTTCCTTCTAAGAAAATCCTCTGAGTCCTAAATAAAGTATACCTCATGTTGCAGGCCACAGTCCTTCAGTCACCTTTGGATCCAAGACAATGTTTCAAAGGCCAGATGAATACACCAATATGCTCACTATTTTTGGACCAGTTTCTATGAGAAATGGGTCCCTAGATTGAACTCTACTTTGACAGCTCCTATAAACATGAATTTCAAATTACTGTACAGTGATACACTTAAAAACAGACATTCTCGTGTGGCAACCACTAAACTACGTCAGGTGTCTACATTAGGACTTATGGGAAAGGAATGAGGGAATACCTTTTTTTGAGGCTCATCCGGTGTGTCCATGGGGGTGATAGAGCCCTCCTCGGCCTCTGAGTGGTTTGACTCGCAGGACGACACGCTGACAGAGTCCATGCTTTCACCAGAGCTCCCACTGGCAGTGGACTTGGGCTGCTCTTTGGTGGGAGTGCTACTGGTAATCATGTCCGACCCCAGAAATAGTCTGCAGAACACATAAGGCCAGGCAGTTGTTTACAAATATGGAATCCATGATTTAGCAATAGTTTGTGCTAATTAACCCCTTGATTGTTTTGCCAATCTTGCATGCCCTGGCATGACTGGAAAACATTTCCTATAAAGTGTCTAATAGATCACAGTAAACATCTCATCTGAATAGGTCATTTCCAACCTCAAAGGACACACAGATTGCTTAGCTGAATGAGAGGCCATATTAATCTGAGGTCTTTCACTTTTCCAAAGAAGACATCCAGATGGCCAACAGACACATGAAAAGATGCCCGACGTCACTCCTCATCGGGGAAATACAAATCAAAACCACACCGAAATACCACCTCACACCAGTCAGAGTGGCTAAAATGAACAAATCAGGAGACTGTAGATGCTGGCGAGGATGTGGAGAAACAGGAACCCTCGTGCACTGTTGGTGGGAATGCAAACTGGTGCAGCTGCTCTGGAAAACAGTGAGGAAGTTCCTCAAAAAATTAAAAATAAGTCTACCCTATGACCCAGCACTGCTAGGAATTTACCCAAGGGATACAAGACTGCTGATGCATAGGGGCACTTGTACCACAATGTTTATAGCAGCACTTTCAACAATAGCCAAATTATGGAAAGAGCCTAAATGTCCATCAACTGATGAATGAATAAAAACTCTTTTTAAAGTTGAGCTTGCAATACAGTAAGGAAAATCCCTACAGGCCATAAATGAAAAGGGAACTGAAAACCAGAAGTATGTGAGCTAACT